GTCAGCTTTCAGATATGACTACTAAATTCAGATCCAGTCCTTGTGGATCTCTCCACAGTTCAGACTGATCTGTGTAGCTTGTTGGTCCTTCTTGGTAGATGTTACCTGTTTGTCATGCACATAAAATTGAGGAATACAGAGTAATTGAAACAAAAGGAAAATGATAGAATGGGTTATTAATTTAAACTTTAAACTTCCAGTGATTCATCAGCAGATCTCTGGGTAAATTGTATCCTGGCTTATGTATGAACAATTGTGGCATTTTGATCTCAGGGTTTTATCCAAATTAAAAAGGAATTAAAAGAAAAGAAAACCTGAAGTCTTATAAGAAAAAGATAAATTTTCTTCAGATTTTGGTTTCAAGCTTGCTGTGGTGTTCTGGCCTGGGTGGTTTTGAGATCAGTGAAGAATACTGATATATAATGTTTTATTCAGAAACACTTTCCTAAAAAAAAACCCAACCCTCTTATTTATTGGAATAATTAATGCTCCCACCTAAAGTTCCACTGAGTTTTATTCTTTACATCATTTAAGGAGAAATGGACCTTTCCTAATGCAAGATCAAATTTCTCTTTACTGCTATTATCTATTAGAAATCTGCAGTCTCAGCAGTACTTTTGCTGCCTTTCCTACTGCATTCGTCCATTTCAATTTTTGCTTATTGTTTGAGATGTTTTTCATTTTAACTTTGAACACTTGCTTCTGCATTTCATTTTTGAAGAATGTAAGAGAAGTGATCTTTAACTCATATGCAAAGATAATCAACTTAAACTGCTTTAAAAACAGATTAATGCCTCTTCTGAGTGGGAAGATGAAGGAAACTAATATGCCTACTTACTTAGTTTCCTGTGGAACCCTTTATTACTTACCATTAATGTACGAGTGAGTCAGTGCAGTGACAGATGTTGACAAAACTCTTTTGATGCTTTGGACTCTTACAATTAACTTTATTCTTCAGCTGTAGAAGCACAGGTAGAATGGAAAATGGAATAAGGCAGTTCCAGAATGCTGTTATGTAGGATGCTTCCCATCTGTGTTAAGGGAAAGTAAGATATTTGGTGTGGCTCTTGAGCTCTGCTTACTGTGTCATGCATTCAAGGATGAATGGGTATGCTTCATATTCAACTGCTTTCCAGGCTGGAAATTATGTAACTTGATCTGGGAAAGTGTATGATAGAGGAGAATACACATGGCAGCATAAACAAGAAAATACCTCCTTGAATATCAACATTCCTTCTCTGTGTACATGTAAAACTTTTTATAAAGTAGTAACCTTGCACTATCCAGCCTCAGGAGCAACTGTATTCAGGGTAGCAGTCCCAGTGCTTGCATCCTCTGTGGTTTTTAGCTCAGTTACAAGCTAACCACATCACCCCAAGCAGTAGGTAGCTGATAGTAGTACTCTGTTCCTATTCCTTAGCACACTAAGAATATGGTAAAAATAGTTTTAGGGGAAAACAAGCCAAAACCCACTAGGAAGACCATAGAGGACAAGAGCAATCTATAACCAATATGTGAGCTAAAGCTGAGCAGAAAGCAGCCAAACAAAAAGGTGAGGAAATGGTAAGTGTGTGATAATGTGGTGCAAGAGGAGGTTCAGTCACTGCAGAACTAGGTTACGTGGGACTAGTAACATTGTGAAGTTAGAAATATAAACAGAAATAGAGAACTTCTGATTAGAAGCTGTACTTGCATAATATTAAGGTTGTAACATGGTATGGCATAACCAATGCAGAAATGCTGTATTTCAGCAAAGGGAGGAAAAAATACACCTTCAAAATAGTCAGTTACCAGAAGAAAGTTTGGTTTGTTTTGTCTGTCTACATCTTAATGAGGATAGCTTTGTCTGCAGCTAGAGAAAATTTGGATTTATTTTTTTCCAAAGCTGCTATTCTTTTCTGTCACTTCACTTCATGCTTATCAAATCATACCTCTTCTGTTCTTGCCTAGATACAGCCTTTCAGCTAAGTAACTGAAATGACAAACTTCCCAATCTTCTGATTAAACAAATGTTTGTTAAAACTTCTGAAGAGTGTTTTTCCTAACTGTTTGCCAATGTTTTATTTAAATGTCAAGAAAAACATTGTCAGAGACTCATGGTATAATTTAGGTTGGAGGTCATGTAGTCCAACACCCTGCTTAGAATAGGGCCAACTTTGATGTTGGATCAGGTTGCTCAAGGGCTGGTCAGCTTTGGAATATCTCCAGCGATGGAGGTTCTACTGCTTGGAAACCTGTTGTAGTGCTCAACTGTTACTCTGAAGTTTCCCCCACAATTATATTATTACTTGTTTCACTGTTACAGTATGATTGATATATCATTACACTACACTACTTCTCCATAGCATCTTCCAAGAAAAAAAAAAAACAATGGAGACAAGGCCTGTGTGCTAGTTAAAGCGTTCACCTAATGCCCAAGTTCCCAAAATAGTCAACGGAGAAGGATCCTAAGAAGATGGTTCAAAGCAAAAGCTTAAGTACTAGAGCCTTATGACTTCTTACATGTTTAAAATTGGGCAGTGTTAATATGTCCTTCAACACCTGTGCTTAAAACAAAAATCTCAAACCAGTTACAAGAATGTGACAGCCTAATAAGAAAGATGGTGCAAAGCCAACTCCTTTACTAGACATGTTTGACTTTGTAGGATTTACTGAAAGAAATGGTTCTGTTTCCTTTTCAGTCTTCTACCCTTTGCTTTCCTAATGGTGCCAAATCTGTTCTTTGTGGATCAAACAGAAGAGCTAATGCAAAGGAAATGGAGCACATGGGCAGGGGGGAGGCTGCATTGCCCTCCTCAGGGGTAGCAGACTTAGATGTGCTTAGCTGTATTAATTAAACAGTTATACACCAGTACTTGGGATTGCTCCTTCCTTAAGTAATTAGTATTGAGATGGTAGTAGAATTCATAGCGATGTTTCTTCTTACAGTCAGCTTTTTTTTTATTTTGGCACAAGTTGTTGACTTAGGAAGTGATAACATTTGAGGTGCTTATCTGTGACTAGCAGCCTTGCAAAAGGAATGCTGATGAGCGTGTCGTGAAGTGTTTTCTGAATACTGGCAGGAATAAAGTGGAATTATTAATGCTTATATTGGAACATTTTTCTCCTGTTTTTAAACTTCTCTACAAAACTCCTGAGATTCAGTGGCTTCTTCCAAACCTCAATAAATTCAGTAAAAACTTGTTGCAGATTTTGTGAGGGCTTTTTGTCTTGGACCTAAAACACCCAAAATAAGTCTATCTCCTGCTACCCTAGATGTGTATCTTGCCTTTTTAAAAGCAAGGATGTGGCCAGAAAACTATCTCTGAAGAGTCATTCTAGAGTTGTGTAGTCTGCCTTCGTAGCTTTTTTGTTTAGTAAGCTTGCTAAGTATTCCCATCAAAGGTGACTTTGTACAGCCAAGCAGCTGTAAAGTTGATCTTGTTGTGTGATCACGCTGGTACCTCAAAGTAAAACTGTGTTCTTTCTGCATTGTGTGCCACATTTAATTATCAGCCCATAAAGCTATTGGAATTGGTATTTGTTGATTGAGAGATACTTTAAAATAAAAAAAAAGTTGACCTCTGTTGCAGGTAACTAAATGTTGCTTTTAGAAACTATTTTATAAAATCTTAATTCATGATTAGCTGAGGTTTTTAATAGCTGTGATCATTCATAGGGTGTTTCCTGTTAAAGCAGACCATACTCATATCACGGTTTTTTTTAAAGAATAGCTGAATGTAGATACATATGAGATTCCCCTAAAGCATGCCCACCATGTGAAATGTTAGGATTTCTTTTGCTTGATGTGTCTTAAGTTTGTACTTTTTAAACTACCTTTCTACTATGTCAGTCCTAAAATTATATATCCTTTTTTGTGTACTGAAAGCATTTTTTTTCCCATTATAAGCCATAAACTAAAGGACATAACAAATGCAAAATAGAGTTTGTTTTTTGTTTTTTTTTTTTTAATGGATCAGAATGTGAAAAATATCACATCACAGTTGTGGCACATCAGAGTACAAGCAAACTATTTCTAGCAGCAAGATTGTATGTTTATATAAGTTAAGACTTTCCAGGCTCATACATATGCAGTATGCTATTGGGATAGCTTCCAAGTTATTGCAAAGAGCAAATCTCCTGGTAAGCTGGATATAAGGGAGTGGTATTCCATCAGTTTGGCTGCTTGCATGCTTTAGGAACAGTCAGTTTCAGTCCAGAACTTCAAGTTTAGGTTTTGGGTATTTTAGTTTAGAACTTGGTGTCCCGTGTGACTTAAGCTGTTGGAGCAGTCATTCAGATGCTATAGAAGACATCTGTGAATACCTACTGAAGTGACTGCATAAGAATGAGGCAAATCAGATATTTTATCCATACAATTTTTTACGGAAAATGTATATTTGCGACACAATGCTTAAATTTTATTTTTTTAGGAAACAATTGTACAGCACTTGGAAAGTCAAAAAGATGGGGCTTGGGAGGAATGGCATTATATGAGCATTGCTGTTCACCTTGGCTTTTTTGCAGCTTTGCCCAAAAGTACTTAGGCAATAACCAGTATTTAGGGGTTGTCTTCTGCTTTCTTGGGGGGCAAAAAAAGCTATTTTTAGTGTAAAATCAAAACACGCTTTTGAAGATCAATACAAAAACAGTTGGATCCTCTATAAAAGAGCTCTTATGTAGCTTGTGTTGGTTTTTTTCACTCCTGTGTACCAAAGAAGTTTAAAAAAAAAAAAAAAAAAATTGCTTTGTGGCCACGATTTCTGAACTGTTCCTTACCAGAAAAGAGGCCTTAACCAGTAGATGTGTGCCTGTCAGAATCCAATTGTTGAATTCCCTCTTTGGGCATATTAAGATCTCAGTAGTTATGACTTACATAGTAGTTAGTACTTTTTACTTTTTGTCTTTAAGACAAACTAACATAACAGTTGAGTTTCTTCTGTAAGTTGCTAGTTATTTAAGACTTTTTTTTTCAATTGAAGGTTCATGTCTTAAAATACTGTCTTTTTATTTGCAGTTGCCAATGTGAAGTATCAGAAGAGTATAATTTGAAACTTTCTGGGACAGAGGACTGTTTTATTATCTCTCATTCTTCGGTAAGCTAATTGTATTATTTTGGTAAGACGAGCTACCTGTTGAATGTGGATTCTATGGTTATCATTGATTACTCTCTTAAAGCATTTTCCAAGATGTTAGACAAAATCAATATTTTACCAAGTTGGAATTTGCAACCTTTAATTATTAAAAAAAAAACCCAACACCTTCTGATTCTTAGTTGTACACAATCTTCAGACATGATTCTTTGTCCATCCTGCTCCTGTTCCTGAGTAATGTGTAAATGTCCATATTGTTAGCGACTTCCCTAGTAAATACTTTTGAAAGCTATTCAGTTACTTCTACGTGCAGTGCCAGGAAAGAGGGGGAACCTCGCTGTCAGGGATTAAAATGTGGGAAACTAAGTGTTTATCCTTGTCTCAGAACAATTTCCTTCCACCTGAGAAAGGGGAAGAAGTGTTTTCACTTTGTAACAGAGGCATCTTTTGCTAAAGCCAGATTGCATTCTTGAATATTTCATGCTCAAGTTTTCTGGTGCTTCTTTGTCAAAACCTTTGGATTCCTATCTGAAACTTTTACAGGGCAACTGTGACACAGCATGTAAATAGCTATGTTTTGAGACTGAAGTTTAACTCAATTTGATTTTGACACTAAAATAAATGGAATTCAGGATCTGGACAGGGAAGAAATTGTAACACTTGGGTACTTCCTTTTTCCTTTTTTCCCTTCCAGTTTTTCTTTTTCCTTGCTGTAAGTCCAACTACATTTGAACATATGTTAATTTAAATGATCCTTTATTTATATAATCTTTTTTGTTTAGAATCACTGGCAAACAGATGGTTATTGCTAGTCTTAATTATGTACATAATTTAGACCAGAAGGCACATCTAAAATGAAAGGTAATTAAGATGTTCCCATAGTGGCTGAACAGAGTCTGAGGTTACAACCTTTACTAATCATTTATCCTTTCTAGCAGAACATAAGGATGGAGAATTAACAAGACTAACCTCTTTTTGGTGTAATTTAATATATGTGAAACTACAGTTGAAAGGGCAGCACAGTAAACCGATAACATAACCTCCTTTGGCCTCAGTCCTGGCAAAAAAAAAAAGTTATTTCTAACAGCAAAAACAAGTTTCACTACACTATTTATAAGGTGTCTATTCACTACACTACTTATATGTGATCCTCTTTATAAGTGGGAGCCTGAATTTGAGGGTGCTTTTTATGAAGGTGTTTTCTTGGTCAGTTATTATCTTAGCTGTTTGCTAAGAAACTTGAATGTTTCCATTTAATTTCTGGGAAATGTTTTTTACTGTCATGGAAGAGCTGATTATTTGCCAGCTGTAGTTAAACACAATGGGAATTCTGATTCCATTCTGCCACTAATCAAAAAAGATGGTATGCGTCAACTTGAGAATAGACTTCTTCAGCCAGTCTCACTTTGTGTCAAGATGTCTTTCAAAGTAGCACAGTGTGTTAATGATCATAGGTAAAATTCACTGGACTGGCTTGTTGGGGTTCACAATATGAAGAATATCCTCGTTCTTACCACTAAGGCAGGGGTCTTAAAGTAAGGGTCAGAAATCCCTGTACTAGGTGTCACAAGCACTGTGATCCTTTTTCTATTCACATGACTAACCTGGAAGGGTTTGTTAAATGTCTGGATGCAAATGGATTAGAAAGCTTTGGTATAGAAATAAATTGAGATTGAAAGTGTGTGTTTCAGAGTTAATTCGCACAATCTTAGTATGGGCTGCTACTGAGAATAGTGTGTGGTCCCCATCCCTGGTCCTGGTGTTGTATTTTCTTCCCCTTGTGCTCAATCTAGTGATCCTGAGATCATGAAGGGAGTGGGATCAGCTTGTTGACATGATGGGAAATATTTCTTGTACTTTTGTGTTGTGGCAGTTAAGTTGAAGCATTTCACTAATATCTACAAGCAGTGTGAGTGTGCAAACTATTTGTTTTAGAACCAGTCTTATAAGTTCTTGTACCATTTATCTTGGCGACATCACAGTTTATATCTCATAACCCTGATTAAAACTGAAACTGTCATATTTTTTCACACAGTTTCCCAAAATTCACATTAAAAAGGAAGATTCTTGCATTCATGTAAAAAGCCACAGTATTATAATAGAAGCTGTTTTGTGGCTGAATGCAGCAATTAGAATAAGAAACTTATTCTGCAGTAATTTGGATAATCTATGCTGATTGTTTATGTTGGATTTTAGGAGCACAGGTATAAAATTTTAAAAGACCGAATTTTCTAAGGTAATAAATACTGTTTTTATTAATACATAGATGGTTATATAGTAAACTTTAAAAATAAATATACCCAATCAATCCGACATGTAAAACCAATTTTGTTACAGTACAGTGCCTAATATATTAAAACTTTTCATCACTGATACTAAGCATGCTTTAGATGTGTAATAAAGCTCGTCTTTTAGGTCAGTGTTTCTTTGATAATTGTGCTTGAAGGAATTTTCTGAAATAGCAAGGTGTTTTTTATGTTCAGAAGGCTTTACTATTAACGTTTAAAGCTTTGTTCAAGTTGTACATAAATTGTCCAGATTAATTGATCTGGAAATGTTTGGTCTTAATGACCTTAACAGTGGCTTCTATTCTGGAAGGGCAGAATTGGCACTGTTGAAGTGGTCATTGGTTGCAGAAGGCAGTTGTGCCAACAGCCTGCCTCCAGCAGCCTGCAGAAATGGTAACTGAGATGCCTGCCTCAAAAGCGTTCATGTAAATATGCCCTAACTCTTCATCGCTCTTCTGGCTGGCTGTAGACCTGATAGCTGAATGTGTAAGGTTATCGCTGTTTTAAGGATGGAGAGGAGATTTGTGTTTATTGTGGTGATCCTATTTAACAGAGGTTTTGGGGACAGTGTAATGCTTTCTTCTCATTAATAATTTTAGATAGTGGGATGTTTTAGTTTCAGAATATGTGTATCTGCTGCTCCTTTTCCCTTTGTAAATATTTTGTACAATATACAGGATGTAGTTGGTGCTTCCTGCAGTGGTGGTGTGCTTGTGAGCTGATGGATTTGAAGTGGTTTTCTCTGCCAACCACAATGCTGATAATCTGAAATATATTTATAAGTAAGGTGATACATGAACTGAGAACTGACTGAACTTGACTGATATATTTTTGTTTGTATCTTTTATGTGCTGTAGACTGCAAAACCCATAAAATACCTGAATGAATCCTTTTTTTTTTTTAAAAAGGGAAGAACCTACCTGAATTTAAAAAATTGAATGCAAGATAAATCTCAATCAAATTGTAACTCCTGTATTCACTTCAATCACTAAGTTCCTAATAGGGTCAGTTACATAAGCTTCAAGACTCTTTAATATTTCCAGAAAATTTGCAGATGATAAAAGATCAGGGGATTGTTACATAGTAGAGAGAACAAATCGCTAGTGTATAGTGATCTGGAGCGCTTGGAAAGGTCTGTGCAAGAAAATGGATATTTTGAAACATCCATGGATGTAGAAAGTGAGTCATAACTGTAAAATGAGGAATTTTATCCATATATGAGTTCTAATTCATATGCCATAGTTGAATCAAGATTACTTCAGGAGTATCCGATAACCTGTGTTACATAACAAATCAGACTAAATGATCACAGCGATCCCTTTTGTTTTATAACCTATGTGTTTGTGAATCACCATCTGCAAATGACTTGGGAGAAAATTCAGGGTGATCTAGAAAGATGAACATGTTTTAATTTAAATTATATAAAGTGGTCTAATTGCTGCATTCAGATGGGTATTCTCCCAGCAGTACATTCAAAGATGATTTTTCAGAACGAACAGAAGGAGCCAGACACATTTTGAAACAATTGTGTGTCTCAGGAGAGTTAGTTTATATGGATTTCATCTTTTCATAATTACTGTTTGCTTGCAGTTTTCCAACAGCTGAATTCTCAGTCTTTAAAAGTTAATTTGTACTTATTTGCCAAAAGAAAATTAATCTAACTTTGTCTTTATACTTTTCTGGTTTTCTAGATTTTAATAAGTGAAGAAGAGCCTCAAAGTATTGTGAGTAAAGACGAGGATTTCTCCTCCTATCCAGGGCCTGTCATGGTAAGCAAAAGGGGTTTGTAGTGTCTGTTACAGAGCAGAATAGGCTAAAATCTGAAATACATTAGAGGGTTAATGTTTACATGTGGGGCTGTTGAATTTTAAGTGTAGTTCTAGACTAAGCTAGGCTAATGCCTTTTTCCTAATACTATTACAAGTCAGTCTTTTTTATTATGGCTTTATTAATCAGGCTGCAGGAAGGAAACCTGTTTCTAATATATTTAGTTGTTTGAATGCTTGTCTTTGAAAGTTTAGTAACTTTAGTAAGTTACTGGTACCTGAATTCTCTAAACGCTTCATCCTGTTTGAGCTTTTCAGTGGTCATTGATAGCTTGTGATGTGGTGAAGAAGGCAGCAAGTGACAGTGCTGAAGTTAACTGTGATGCTTTGTTTCTCAGGATGAAGAGACTCAGCACAGCCTTGAATGCATCCAGGCTAATCAGATTTTTCCCAGGAAGCAGCTGATCCGAGAAGATGAGAACCTTCAGGTAATTGCCACACTGCTCCTTGCCAGTTAAGATCACAATATCTCTAGTTGACCTATGTATTCTCTGGCCTCTCCCATAGCATTTTCATTCACAATTGAGCACAGTAATAGGAGAAGCACGTTTTCATTTTAAATAGTCATGTACTGTTGGTAGGATATAGAACTTTTACACTATATTACAAGAGATTCCTTAGAGTGTCTGAAAAATACAGCCATTACTTGTGTAGTAACTTCAAGTGCTACGTTTTATTCCATAGTTTAGAATGCTTTGTTTTTTAAAAAAATAACACTAAGCTAGTTAAATACTACCATTACTTCTTGTTACTGAGAAGCCAAAAGTCTCATTTTGCACAAAATGGATACATTTTTTTTCTTAATTTTCCAAAGTACCTTTTGAAATCAATTTAGTTCAAGTGATTTATCCATGTAGACACTCCTATCAACTGAAGAGGTAGTTTGTTTGATTTTAATAGAAAATATTTTTAATTGATTTAAGCTAAGTTGGTGTAAAACCAGATTATTTTCAAGTTGAGCATTTACACTTTTCACCCAGCTCAGCTAGATTGGGCTTAAGTCACATTTTAATTAAACAGTTGTGATTTTTATGTACAGTGTCATAGAACTGCAGGTTTTCTAACTTTATAAAACAGCAGCATATTGTGCATTTTCATATTTGCAGTGAGAAATATGAAGCAAAAAGTATGATTTGTCCAACTGACTTCAGCTGTGTAGCATTTAGGTATCCAGTCTAAGCTGGTTACCTGAGCTTGCTTAGTGAATGTTGGGGACCAGTAGCATAGATATTAATCTTACATGTTTTGCCTACTTTAGGATGACTTAAATAACATTATGGAAATGCCACTCTCCATTTGGTAAGGAGTGAGACCATAAATCAAAGGGTTGGTCAGACTGCTTGCTGAAATGTGAGGATATTTTGCTCAGATTTTTCATAAATTCATTGTTTTCCCTGACCAAGCACTAACTACTCAGGAAAATTAAGAGAAAATGAGGAATCATTTTTAAAAAAGGCCACAATTAACCCCTGAACCAGCTTTACCCAAGACTTTCCTTCTTAGCAGTAATAGCTAGGCTGAATTCTCAGCAGTGTTTCATTTTGATTTTATGATGTTTTGTGCTTGAGTGTATGCTTGCAGGAGGTACATTTTTGGTAAATGGTTTCTGAAAGATTTTTCTTCCCATTCTGAAGGTCCCATTCATTGAACTTCATGGTGAGAGTACAGAGTATGTAGGACGAGCAGAGGATGCCATCATTGCACTTTCTAATTACAGGCTTCACATCAAATTCAAGGAGTCTGTTGTGAATGTAAGTGTTTATTCATGCTACTATGGTAATAGAGGTATTTTGAACTCAATCCAAATAAGAGAATTTAGGATAAAAGTATGGTGATCCTGCCTTTTAAGGTTAGTGGTAATGAAAAAAATCTCTTTATGATGTTCAAAACACATTTTTCAGGGAGAACAGATACATATTTAGGCATCAAAAGATGACTCAGCACCTCTGAAAACCTGGCTTTGTAAGAAAACTTCACACCACTCAACTTTGTTCTCTTTACAGCTGGCTATGTCAGCCATTTGTTCTCCCTAAGCTCTGTATATACTCAGTAGAGAAATAAAAGGTCTTCCAAAGGGCTGTTTGGAGCACCGAAGCTGGATTTGTGCCTTGCTTGGATCTTCAAAAGGTGGAAGTAGGTCCAGCTACTGAAGTTATATGCCTGAAGTTGGATAGTATGAGTACAGTCATTGATGCAAGAGATCCAATTCGTATTGGACCTCATCTTCAGATGCCTACACATTTTTTTAAAGATCTTTAAAGTATCCATTTTTAAAAATTGTTACATATCCAGCTACTCATGATCATAGACATAAATTAAATAGGCATTGTACAGTCTTTTGCAGTAGTATAATGCTGACATATATTAGTCTTACTGGTTGTAATACCATTTGTGAACTATATAGAATTTGATAGGACATTATACATGGCACAGCAATATTTTTGTGGATATTTGTATGAAATCCAAAGAATTAAAGCATTTTTTCTCCCGATTTTTTTTTTACCAATCTCCTTATTTCAAGACAAGTCCTGACCCTGGCTGTTTGTTAATTGCCACGTGTCAGTCACAGATCCTGAACTATGCAGTGGTGAGTTTAGTGTAAAACACCAAAACTGCATGTTATTCCAAAGCTGAGAAAATCAAGGGAAACAAAAGATAAGAATTGACAAATGTCCAACACATACATGACTGAGACACATACGATACAGTGGTCTGGAACATCAGCGAGATCTCCTGTGCACCTAACTGATTTAATTTTTGATGCCATGTCAATCTTAAAATTTGAATTGTTTTTATTGTTTTGTGCCAGAACCAAATTATTAACTCTGTAAAAATTTTTTACTAACTAAAACTCAAATCTTTACAGGTTTGTTGTCTCTAATCATATAGCTATGTTATCTACAGACTTTGAAATGTGCGTGTGTCATAGTCATCATTAGTCGCTTTAAGTGCTATTTTAGTTCACGAATTGTCAATGTAGTAGGCTGAATAGCTATGTCTGCTAGGCTGGTGAACATCTGTGTACAGCATTAAAGTGCTAAAATTCATGATGATGTGGGGTTTTTCAGCAAGTACAGGTATTATTTCTGAACATGGCAGTTACTCAAAACAATGGCAAAAAATTTATGATGACAAAAATGGAGATTTAAGGGCTATTATCTTCCACTGCTGGCCATAGAAAGGAGATGATACAAGTGTGTGCATATGCAGAGGTAGCATAACTTTACTTTTCACTTCTCTTATTCTGTAGTCAATCCTGAAGTAAAACTTAAGACTTAAAAGTTAAGCTGTAAGCGCATCACAATGGTAGCCAAGGGTCAGCTAGGTACTGGGGTGCCTCAAGTGCAGTCCAGCCAGATGCATCTCTACATGCTGCTGGCAACAGAGAGAAGATGCGTTACGAGGCATGTGTTTTCTAGGATTCCTTTGCTGCTTTGTGATACAAACATGAATTCTAGGGCTGAATTCTGCCAAGGGGCCTGCTACAATAAATCTATATTGTATTACTTACTGTTAGGGTTTTTTTTAAGTTCAGAGTCTGAATGTTGTATGAAATTGGTGACTAGAATTGACAAAGCAGAGGACTGAATATTTAAAAACAAGGAGCTGAGACATGAGAAACAACAGTATCCCTAGAAATCAAGAGTTTGTCCTGAGGAATGCCAGGAAATGATAGAGTTACTTTATTAGAGAAGCCACTGATGCGTGTACTGCACTTACTGTTGTATCTGTCCTTAGGATAATTAGGGGTATTAATTTTTAAGAATTTTGAATTTAATATTTTTGAGCAGTAACAAGAATTGATGTTTTCCTAAATAATATTCTGTCTTTGTGTTCAGGAAAGAGTCCATAAAAGTTTGTCAATATTACCATGTTAATTTTGCTCCCCTGACTTTCATATCCAGTATTCTGCCCTCTCACTCTCTCTGATATCTCCAAGGTTGTTAGTCCTGCTTCATATGTCATCGTTAACCAGAAAGATTCAATTAGGTAATGTATGAGTTAGAGCAGAGAATATAGATTATATTTCTGTAACCATATATGACCATCACTAATAACGTAGTATGAACTCTACTGGAATCCAAGGCAGACAGGATCTGGAATATCTTTAAGAATAAAAAATACTTGCAATAATTAGAAACTATATTTAAATTATTAAATTTTGGAGTAATAATAACTTTGGTGGTTGTTGATCAAAATTATTGATCAGATGGTGATTTTTTAAATTAAATCTTCACTGAGTAATTTTTGATTGAGTTAATCTTGATTCTTTCCTACTGTTTTTATATTGCTAGAGCTGTTCAGAAAACACCTTTTAAACGACCTTTTTAAAACATATAAATGTTTACTGATATTAGGACTTGGGGTTTTTTTATTATTTTGAATGATTTTCATAAGAATCACTATCCGGAATAAGTCCAGCCACACTAACGACCTTGTCACCTCGGTGGATAGAAGTACTTCTGTGTAAGAAAGAGGATTTTTAACAAATATCTGTATTATAGTACTTGTAAAATTAATTGATTCCCCATGTCTGAATGTGCAGCTGTTACTCTTGAAGTAGGTGGGATATTCTCATGGTAGAAATGGTCCTCCAGAGAAAGTAGTATGCATGTCAACTACTTGCCCCTTAGTAAAGGCAACTGCATGAAGGAAATGGAATCCAGTTAAAAATGGATTCCTGGTCTTTGGGTTTTTTTACCTCACTGTTCTCTTTGTTTACAATTCAATAGACTGGCTGTCAAAATGATGCTTGTGAAACTTCAGTAAGTAGCACAATGCTGCTAGATCACTTGCTGCACCTGTGCTTGAAAATAAATACATTTAAGAGTTGATAATGCTCACATTACAACACTGCAGAAAATGGCTGTATGCATAAATCTTTTCCATGGCTAATTTCCTAGATCACAGTAGTAATAGGAACACGGTGTTTTAAATGCAAAACCAAAAGATGCAGTAGACCATGCATAAATTGGAGGGATTATGACATTCAAAAGTGTTGACTTATATTTATCCATGGGATAAAAATGCAGACTCAACAGTGATCTCTCAGTGCACATGGGAAGTTTGGTTCCCAGGCCAATCTCTGATGAGCTTTCCTTAAGAAAATTTCAAACTTTGCAGCTGATGAGTGTTTCTGTCTAACCATTTTCTCCCTGTAAGCTAATTGCATTTATAGGAGAATTAAAATGTTAGTGTGGTTTATGAAACCATGGATTTGTTTGTAGCCTCTTTCAAGTAGTAGATTCTGGACACAGTAAGTCATGCCAGCAAGATGAGCAAGATTTTCAGTCTTGGCAATGAAGTGAATTTTAGTATGAGCTTTCCCTTGCTTGGACTTTAATGGAAAAATGGTTGATTTGGTGTCTTCCTTACGTATGTAGCACAGTTGTGGTTCATCTGTGCTGAACAGTAGCTTAGTCCTTGTTTTGTTCTCAGGTCCTGATGATCAAACTGTTCACATTGCGCACATGTTAATTGTGAAAGCAGACGGGGGACTAAATAATTGCCTTCACGAGAACCTAAGTGTAATTAGTTGTACTTAAAAGCAAAATTTCCTACAGGTACTCCTTGTACATTATATGAACAAGATCACGCTTGGGGGGATTTGACTCCGTCCACCTAGGAGAGTCCTTGAAGACCACCTGAGCTGATCTTGCATCCTCAGTTCCTCCATATGTCATCTTATACTATGCTTCAGGACATAACAGCACATAGCCTTGGCCTCGTGCTCTTTAACCAGTCTGTAACATAACCCTGACATTATTTCAGACTTTGACCTGGGAAAACAAGAAGAAAGTACTAATTAAAGCTTGTGGCCACTGGGTGCCACATGGTACCCTGGAGAGACTCAGGAAATGGTATACAGGGTAGTGCATATAGCATAGTCACACATGAAGGGGCTGGCTTATAGCAGCCTGGCCATGGTCCACTGCATACGACTTGGCATTGTGGTCAAGGATTGAGCCATGGGGTGGGTTGTTTCAGCAGTGTAAACAACTTGTGCTTTTTTGAACTACAGAGGTGTATTTCTCTAAATATATCTTGTATCAGTAATTAAAATAATAAAAAAAAATTTCAAAAAGAAAAAGCTTGAGTTGTATAATATTGCTGTTGTTTAAAATGAGATCATTTTAAAGAAGAGACAGTTAAGATACTGCAAGAGCACAATGCTGTAGTACTCTATGATGCGATATGATTGGCCTCGGATAACAATGCATGTTTATTCTTATAAAAGCAAAAATGATTGCTTCTCCACTGCTTTATTTTGATAGCCATTATTATATGGTGAAGTGCCTGCAAATGGAATTGATGGCTCTTTCAAGAGCAAGCTAACTGCACTGGGTGTCTGACTTGCTGCATGCATCAGCCTGAAAAACATAACCATGAAAATGGAAGGTTATCAGTGGGAAAGAATGGGGAATGAAGGCAGATAATTTTACAGAGTTTTACTGGGAGAAGAATAATGGACAGGAAGGAGACTGAAAATGCAAGAGGATCAGAGGATAGATTTTTATGACCGGAAAAGAAAATTAAAAAGATTGATATGGAAGTTGCCCTGAAAAAAAACTGGCAGGTTCTAAGGAAATAGATGGTGAGCTGCATGTAGACTGTCAAGAGAAAAAAGAATGGCTGTTGAGCAGAGGGCAAATTGAAAGGGCATAGAACAAAGAGTGACTTTGAAAGAAGGAAATTAAAAATAATGCAGGAGTAGGAGAATACTTAGTATGTCATTAGAGTGCAGACAGGAGGAAGAAGAGCCAGAACCAGACTGCTAGAAGGAGGGAGCAAGGTGAAGAACTGCTTAAAGGAAGATGGACATGGGAAAAATGCAATAAAAGAGGGCTTGGGGAAAAAAAAACAATATTAACAGACAAAGCAGTGTTTGAAAAAGCAAGTCTTCTAGAGTCTTAACTCACTTAGTTGGGGAAAGGTACCTTACTTTCCATGTTGGTGCCATGTAAGTCAGTGGTAGATTTAAATTATTTATTTGGTGTATGTGAGGGGGTCCAGTTGGGAAGAAAGAACGGAAGATTCCCCTGTCTGAGGTCCATTCCAGTTCCTTAATTTATTAGGCAAAATTATCACAACAATTGATCTACCCTGCAGACTAGAATCAAGTAGGAGAAGGTGTGGAAGAAATTACCAGTTAAAATAAAAATATGAACTATAGCAACAGTACATCTAATCTTGTCTGTAATGCACTTAAATACTGTTACATTGGTATCTAAGTCTATCAGCATCTTCACTGTACTTATTCTCTGCAGGTGACTCTGCAGTCAGTTTGAGCTTAAGGATGGCAAAAAAAGGGGGGGCTTATCTCACAGGAGGGAATCCTCATTTCGTGTGCCCCTTCATGTTGCTAGTTATGTAATTTATATTAGACTATCACAGATCTTAAAACAGTAATAATACTGAAAACATGGACCAAAATTCAAGTTCCAGCTTTATTTGAATACCCAAACCACTGGGCTGTCGAGTCAGACACCATCTTGTCTAGTGTCCTTGTGCATGAATTTTCTGTTCTTTAATGGCCCAGTTACAGCAAAAGGAACAAACGGCCCTGTTAACAGCAAAAGGAACAAAGAGTAACTTACCTGTACCAGCCTTGCTGATCATGGGAAATGAGGGCTATTAGTACTTTCTCCAGCTAAGGGGAGTCCAGCACTGCTTCATGTTTGTGGTCTGGCAAGGGCAAGGATAAAGGTTGAGTATTAAGACAATACCTGCCTGTTGTATTTTGGGGATTGTGAGCTCTGGGCAATTATTTGAGGTTTTACATTCAGAAGAGGACTCTGGACTCTGACTTTTGAGTTGGCAGGGAAACATGAGGTGCAGCTGTGAGCTGTGTGCCTGCCTTCCCAAGAGACATGAGAGTTTTGATCACTCTCCTGGGCACAGCATTTACCATTAGCTTTCTCTAGACATCATCATGCTCAGAGTAAGTTTTCTTGTGGTTCATATTTCTGAGACATATCTTTCCCTTGCCTACTGCTTTTAGTTCCATTTCCTTTTTTCATTCCACTGAAATCAGGTGGTACTTAAGCTTTGTGGTGCCTGAGTGGAAGCTGTCTTGATTCCTCACCCAGATCCTTGATTGGAGGTGACCTTCAAGGACTTGCTCAGAGTCTGTATGGAAAGGCGCTGGCAGAGCAGGGTCTTACAGCCACATTTTGTAAGCCCTCAGCCAGAACTTAAACCGCTGGATCATACTCCTCTGATGGCAGAGAAGATAACAAGAGTATTTGAATGTTTCTCTGATAGCCTTTGATTGAAGGATCTTGATGGCAGAGTTTTTGTTGCCTTGTGTAGTGTTCAGTATAATCTAACAAACAATTCAAATGGTTTTACACTTCATGTTTATTATAGGTATTAGCTAAATTCTCTGTGTTTGGAATTTAGATGGTTAGTTGAATACTAACTTTTATTTGTTTAAGACAAGAATGTACATTTGCCTGTCCCAGGTAAAGGTCCAAAAATGTTAACGAAAACCAATATTTTCATCTTGTGGCTTCTTATCTTTAAAGGTACTTGCATGTGCTTATGAGTTTCACCTGAACAAGCTTCTGCTAGTTACATGTGCCATAAAACATAAGTGCATATAACTACACCTTTAAAAATGAATGATTCAGCATTATTACTGTAAATATGGCTGCTTTGATCACAAGTGTTGGTCTAAACAGGCCAAATGGTTTTTCCCTGAAGAAGAAATATGGAATATTTCTGTATAACAAACATGTAGACTGCAGCAGTCTGTTAAGGGGGATCTTGCTTAGCAGTTCATTTTTTACACCAACACCTAGAATTATATTCCCAAGATCCCTAAATTTGGACCTATAAGAGAGAAGGATGCTTCCATAAGAGAGGAGCATGTGGGTTTCTGCTGCTTTTCCTGCCTTCACCTTTGTTACCAATGCTGCAGTCTCTCAGCTGTTTTCATGTGATCCCTTAAGGTTTTTGGACTGTACAGCAATGTAGCTGAAACGACTGATATATAGTACCGTACTTCAGAGCTGTTGAAGTCGTTACGCTTAGTTTTCTTTATTTTTTCTCTCTTTTCAGATTCCACATAGTTCTATAATAAATCCTTGTGAGATACACAAAGAAATTACAGTGTTAGTGCTGTTTGAAATAAAATTATATTATCTTTTTAATTGCAGGTTCCATTGCAGCTTATAGAAAGTGTTGAGTGCCGTGATATATTTCAGCTTCATTTGACTTGCAAAGACTGCAAGGTTATAAGGTATGAATAGGCTGAATGGGGAATGGGGGGTAACTTTGCTTTCTATATGCTGTGGACAGCTGTGACATTTTAAGGAAATGTTTTTTCTTACTTAGTGGACTTGCTTTCCCTCAAAAGATTTTCTTTTGTCTTGATTTTGCATACAGTAGCTAGGCATTTTCGTAAAGAGGATGTGAGCAAGATGGTCTGCATTTTTGCTTGCTATGATACAGTATAGCAGTAAATCTTGGTCTGAGCCCAGGTGGCTGATCTTGATTTTATTCTGAAATTAATTTTAGTCTCACTGTGTTTTCCCTGCCCTACAGTCAGTTATAATGTATTGCTTCAATTAGTTATAAGTTACAGAACTAGATAAAACCACTGAAACACATGCTTCTTGGAGAAGTGTTTAATCAAGATTTGGGGTTTGGAGGGTTAAGGTATGGGCTTGTACAGTTCTACATGAAACCTTCAGTCTGGATAGCATCAGCCACCCTGCATTTTTAACAGCTCTGGGGTACAGCAGCTATCCTTAAGACATAGTAGCCTATTGGAAAAGAAAGTGAGGGACTAAGGTAAAGCCAGGTCTGCAACCCACTCTGTAACCCATTGAAGTAGATAGCATCATGTAGAAGGGAGTATTTATTTATGTCTGTCCTTCAGCAGACTTTAGAGTCTGCCGCAGGAGTCTCTGAGCTACTGAGCCTGAGCTACAGCTATTTCCTACTTTTTTGCTGCAGAAATCAATTTTGATCTATAAACTTTAATTAACAAGAAAGGAACATTTCTTTTTGATTAAATGTTTGCTGGCAGTACCTTTTGTATAATGAAATGAGCCCCAGTCATATCTGAGCACTTGGAATGTTTAACAGGCCAGCTGCTTCCTGAAATGCTGTATTTTGATGAGGACTGATTTCACTTTAGAAGTAATATTTAGTTTAATTTGAATTAAATATTTAACTTCCTCTTAACTTGTAGCTCTTGACATTTAAAAAAGTCACTCTTCCTCTCTACATTAATTTGTTATTTCTCTTCAATTGTAGAATGAATACAAATTATTTGTATTTATGCCCTTCCCTATGAATTTGCTTTCAAAATTGCATCTCTGAGAATCAGTACTTGGTGATACTGGCCATTGGAAGATCATGAAGTATGGGGCTGAGGTACCAGATTTAGAACATGTTCATGTTCTTTTTCATGAACAAAGTAGTTTGTGTTTTTAATCATAGGGCTCAAGGGAAGATAGAACTTGTTATCTGCAATGCTAACTTTAAAAGAATTTAGAAAATGGGGTCTTTAGTGTGAGAGGTATCTTGTCTGACTATGGATATTTCATAGAGAATTATCCGGCCTAAGGTAGTCTTGTCTTGCTTTATAGTCAGTGATAGGAAATAAACACCTCCAGGCTGCAGTTCCTCGCAGCTATTTAGACACGTTTCATGAGTAGGACATGTCTTTTTCCTTCCACTGACTGACTTTCAGATATTGCAGGTAGGGGTAATAAATCCTGCCCTTAGAGAATGCAAATGCTATCATTAGCCATGAATGCAGTAGAACACAGACTGAGCTGAATGTAAATACTTTGAATATTTTATAACTACAAAATCTTGAAGAAATCTGACTGAGCAAAATAAATCACTGATCTTATTTCCACCCTTTTATTCTAAAGGGTCCAGGAATCCTCTTTGAAAAGACGAGTCAATGTAATTTTAATATACTGCTTTGAAGATTAGTTTCTCCTGTGCAGGGAATATTCTTGTTCGTTGTTGTTAGTCTGTAATGTTAGGCAAAGTTCAGTTTCAAAAATGTTGTTTGTGCTTCCCACCAAGGCCAGAAAGAGAATCTTAGCATAGGGGAATAATGTAAGATTTCAGATACTGGAGTTTGTCCTCATTATTCTCAAATTAAATATATTAATCAAATGGATATTTCTCCTATGTCTGATGAAAAATGCATTCTTGTTTACAGGAATATGATGCCTAGATTATAATGTATGTGATGGTTTTGTGAGTTTTCATCTAACACCACCAGTCAGCAGGTTGCTGTAACACATTCTTGTCTTTGTGTGAAAGTCTCAGACTGAACTCAGTGATATTGTCCTTGGTTTTATAGTAAACATATGCATAAACATCTCCCTCATTCATGACTAGTAGGGCATACCACTGATTTATTCACAATCACAGAACACTGCTTTCCTGCTTACAGTTTATTTTGATTTTGTAAGTGTGTATTTCTTTACTGATATCCAGAGCTTTCATTTTTACTATCCAGTAGAATGTACATAGAAGCAGAACTAAGTTATCAATAAGATGTTCTCACTTTTTGCATTCACAGATGTTTTCATAGTTAGCCTGTCAGATCTTAGTCTGGCATCTCTTACTGAAAATTAATAGATAAATGTTTGTTTCTGGGACAGGTGTCAGTTTTCTACTTTTGAGCAGTGTCAGGATTGGCTTAAGCGACTGAACAATGCCATACGCCCTCCTTCGAAGATAGAAGACCTTTTCTCATTTGCCTATCACGCTTGGTGTATGGAGGTATATGCTAGTGAAAAGGAACAGCACGGGGATTTGTGTCGGCCAGGTATGTGGAAACATTTTGGGTATCTTGGAAAATGCATTGACTAGTAACTGCCTGTTTGCTGAAATCCAGAACTTTCAAAAAAAGTTGTAAACAAATTCAGTCTGTGGTGGTGTAAACAGAACCTGGAAAATTCCAGTATAGAATTTTTTTGTATATAAGTTTTTGTACTTCACTAGCTGGTGAATATACTATATGTGATAATTATATAGGTATATTATGCCATCACTTACAGCGAGGTGTCCTTTAATGTCTTGCATGTCTGCCACAGTCTGAGTTCTGTCTGAACAAAGGAGAGATTAGTTTCAACCATAGCTACTTTGGGATCAACATGCAAAGCAGTACCTGAATATCCTGAGGAAATTGTTGTGGTGGATTTGATTTAGTCAGTCATGTATAATACTAATAACATGTTGTTCACCATGGCAGCAGCTTTCAATCTAAAACATTCTGTATTGATTGTGCCCACATTTTTTGTAATTGCCTAGAACAGTGGTCTTCAACATGGGTGTTGAGGAGCAGGAGGTGAAGGAGAAGGAAGTCCCTGAGCTGCTCCTGAGGTTCATTCACAGCTGCAAGACAGCGACCTACTTTAGTGAAATGTCATCCTTGCTAGAAAGTTTTAGAAGCCCACAAGTAAATAAAAGCTAAAAATTGGGATGCTGGCGGTTATAGCACTTGTTTGAATATAAGGAAATATGAGTTCTAGACCCGCTCCAATCTGAGGCTCTCTTTGCTCGCAATTCACATGTCCGAGAAAAGTATCCCAGTTATCAGGTTGAGGAGTGGTAGTGTGATTCTGTCCTTATTACTGAAGCTGGTCTGGGGCTGAGCAAAGACTATGATCTTGTTGGTGCCCAAGGAAGAGCAGTCAACAGGTAGCACACAAATGGGAGGAGGTGCTCCTTGGTTCTGGTTCCTGTTCCTGCACTTTACACCCTTTATGTTAGCAGTTACTGAAAAAAGGCAAAAACATCTTCAGAGCAGAATTTTAAACTCAGGTCTTTTCCCTCCTAACTAAATTCAGGAACTGGAAGATAGCAGACATGTAGATGGCTTGCTAAGTCTCCTTGTGCAGTCCTTTTCTTCACTGAAACAGACGGCTTTCAACCTAATACTAGGTTAGGTTAAGAAGCAGCATTTACCTTTTTATTAACTCTTAGACATCAATTTTTTTCTTGTAGGTGTGTCTGTCAAATAATTTTCTTTAATGTAGTAACTTTTTCTTCCCTGTAGCTTGCTTATTTCTCGTGGTAGATATTCTCCTAAGAGTTGAATTATAGTTGAAATAAATCTACGGGAATGTAATTGAACAAGTTAATCCCAAGACATTGTAATATATTTTTTTACATCCAAGGAGCCCAATATTTGGTAGATATGGACAAAAATGCTAAACTGTTTCAAAACCTATCAAAAAGTATCTACTTCTGGGGGGAAAAAAAAAAATGTAAGTTGTTATCAGTGTGTGTAGTGGGAGATATGAACAGTGGCTCACAAGCTAAGCTTTTATAGTCAGAAGGCACAAGTCCACAAATGTATACCTTGCTTTTTCTCTGATTTTGAGAATTGATTGGGGTGCTTTGAAAATATTATCCATCTTGGCTCAAAATGCTTCTTAAAATAGCAGCATTTCAGGAAGAACGACAAACTGTTAAGGCTAGGATTTCATTTCTCAGGAAAATCTATAATTTCATGACATGCACAGTAGATGAAAAATTAAGAGGGAGAAATCAAATGGAATATTTCATTTTCATATCGCTTTATGTGTTTCTTTTAAAACCCACTGGCAGTATGCAGCATTGATGATTGGGGATGTTTCCAGTATTCTCATTTGCTATCCAGAAAAATCCTTAAGTATCACAAGTTTTAATGACCATTCTTCAAAGCAGCTGATAATGAAGCCCATCCTCAGTGCTGCAAGAGCATTCTGCTGTTCCAATAAAAGGTTGTTTAAAAAAAAAAAAAGTCGCTGCTAAGGAAGAACATGACAGAAGTGGTTGTCTGGCTGGAATGTATTGTCCCAGTTTCACCTTTGCACTTGACAGAGGATCAGAGGGCTCCTCACAGAGCTGTCATCTCTATGGAGCCATCCAGCTTTTGTAAAACAGGGACTCAAGCAGCTGATCTATTTGAGTAGGTGGCTAGAAGATAATAAATTCAAGCTCATGCAGAGTTCACTTGAGAAGTGGGAAATTGTTGGCAAGCTCCAGTCTAACTGATCCAGCTATAGGGAAGGTAGGGCAGAACTACAGTGCCTGTGTGATACTGAGACTAGCCTTCTGCAGAAAATGCATGACATAGGAGGCAGAACTATTTCTTTTTTATGGTACTGTTGTACCAGTGACATGACGTTAAGGGAATAAGTGATGAAGGTCAGTCAGGTCCATAGATTTTACTGCCATGTGCCTTGAAGAGTGAATATTCTCCCTTTGCACACAGTGTCATTCTCACATTTTACATTTCAAAAAGCATAGGAAAAATAATCTCATTATGCAGATCTCTTGCACATTGTCCATATTGTAAAGTATGTCTAGATGTACCATTTTCAAAGTACCATTTTTAGTGTATGATCTGAGCTGTAGGAATGAATAACATTATAGCTTTTCTTTCACAGTTAATTAAGTCCTGTAGTTAGGCTGCTATTTTTATTCTTAATTTACCTATTTCTCTATATTTATCTCTAATTGTTCTGTAATGTCACATAAAAATTTGTTTCAGGCATGTACATTTACATCTTTGAGATAAATATGTATCTACATATATCTCAGGTATTGAAAGACTTTAAGGGTTTTCTGAAACATATAATGGAAAGATGAAAAATTAATGCTTTAACAACAGATTCCCCCCACCCCGTTGGGTGATGCTCTGCCTCATGATTTAATGATACAGTAATTTAAAGAGACAAGCAATGGACAGACTTTCAGAATCATTTTATCTGGCATTGCTCACATGCTCATTAAATTTATCACATTTCTTAGCTCTGTGAACCTCAATTTTATATGTTATTCTCTTCTACAGGTTGAGTACCTTCTAATTCTCTAGACTTTCTGTCTATCAGAATAATTATTGTTTATTGCCATTGTATATTTTCCAGTTGTATTTTGATACTTTTAAAAAAGAGTCTAGCAAATAAATGGAGCTCATTCCAGTTCCTTTAATATGTTAATCTAGGAATTTGTGAGGAACTAGTGACTGATGATTGACACAAATATTTATGCATTGTATCTTCATATCTCCACATGACTCATGGAGGAATAATGCCCAGTTTACAGATGGAAAACTGAGGTTAAATTACAGGGCTCACCTACAGTCATACAGGAAACCTGTGGCTGAAATTGCATCCTAAATGGAGATTGCGCAAGTTCCAGACCACATTCCATATATTACCCCTTCACATATCAGTCAGACCAGAGCTTCTCCACCTTCTCATTGATAATTCTTCTGAACTTCAGAAAAGAAAAACTACTAGCATTTTCCCACTAAGACTACTGATGGATCTAAATTGCTTTTGCGGATGTACTTGGTTCTGGTCTGCAGCGTTACTGTTTCGTACAGGAATTTACAGAAGCTGGTCATTTCAGAGAAAAAGTCCTTGATGGAGTTTGACATTTCTGGAGAGCTGACCAGGGAGCGCCATCAGTACAAGCTGTGGTTCTCCTGATACAGATTTTCAAAATAGGGTTGTGAACTGTAGATTATGTTTTTGGACTGTTGCTTTCTCTTTTCATGTTTTAATAAGTGAGTGCAATGGTGTTTTTCTGTAACTATTTTGAGGAATCTTACTTCTTATTTCACATTTGTTTTCTTTCTCTGCTTTTGATACCCAGGAGAACATGTAACTTCAAGGTTTAAAAATGAAGTGGAGCGGATGGGTTTTGATATGAACAATGCCTGGAGGATTTCCAACATCAATGAGAAGTACAAGTAAGTTATGTGGGCTGCTGATTCACAGCCAAATGGCATCTCAAAGCACCAATTTTGTTATAGCAGATTACTGGAACTTTTTCCAAGTTCTACAGTTCCTAATAAGGGACAATTAGAATTATGATTTTTTTGTTGTTTTATAGAAAAAGTGTGTTTTTGAAGTATTGTTTAATATTTTATTATCTGCTACAATTTTTGTAGGCTTAGAAATACCAGATTTTGATGTACTTGCTGGAGGACTTCTTGGAGAATAAGCATTCTAATGGAAGAAAGGGAAGCCTTAAGTGAGCAAAAAGTGGCGTTTGATTGAACTTCTAGAAAACATTTTTTATTGTGTCTTTTTCTCTTATCTTATGACAAAGACTTGTATTAAAAAAAAACCAAAACAAAGGTCGGTTTGGAAGAGTTAAGCCTCTAGATCCTGAAAATAAGAGAAAACACTTTCTGTGGTCCTGAAAGCATAGACAGATGTCCTCTTCTTTAGCTGCTGGAGCAGAGAAAGGTGTTTCTCCATTCGGGGTTGGTAGGACAGAGTGTACTGCCTGATCCCTAATCCAATTCAGAGCAAAACCAGTGGTAACACTTTGTGATGAAAGCTGTTTCATTACTCTGTTTTTGCAGGATAATGACTTGCAGTTGATAGTTGATGTCACTGCAAGAAGAATATATGTCTTGGTCTCTAAAAACCTGGGGAAGAAAAAATAGTGCTTTCCTACATACTTAATACTAAAGAAAAAGGAAAAAACCCTGTGTCATATGGAAGCAGAATGATGCAAGCTACTCCTTTCCTTCTTGTGGCCAGCACTTGAGAAAAGAGCACTTTTTCGGGATGACTGATATATTTTTCTAAATGGACATGTGTTCATGTCTGTCCTGGTGCAGTAAATGCACCTTTTTAAGAGGATGGACTGGGGATGAACTAGTTTGATTCAGCAATATATTGCAGTCACTACTGACTGCTTGCACTGTTCTCATTGGCAGTCATGGCTTTATTAGTTAAATCGTGGAGCAGGAGGTGCATCTAGTAGAAGAAAGTTCCAGTTAGTCAAACATAAGCCAGTGCACTCAGATTCCTGCCTTCAGCGAGGGTTGATTAGCCAATGTACTTTTTCCACACTTACACAAGTTTTCTGTCTTGAATCCAGTAGCCCAGGGTGGCTCTGCTTCTGTGTTTTGTGACCCAGAAATGGAGTGGCTATTTCTTTAGCATGGAGAGATGTGTAATTTCTTTTCTGTGGTCCAGTTTATTTCAGCAGCTGGAGTTAAAAATCGCCTACGTACGAATTTCCCGAGAAAGCACCAGCTTGGTTCTTCTAATTCTGAAATGCATTTATGCACCTTGATGTTCACAGTGCTTTTTGTATATGTGAAGGAGAGGGAAACAGGAATTAACAAAATGGCAGTTTGCTGAGATTAACAGTTGTCAGGTTGCTTATACTGCTTATTTGTGTGTTGTCTGGCAAGTGTGTAACTGCTCTGTATTGCTCTGTTCAACCCTTTGCACCACTTTTCTTACAGGCTCTGTGGTAGTTACCCTCAGGAAATCATAGTTCCTGCCTGGATCACGGATAAAGAGCTAGAGAGTGTGGCAAGCTTTCGGTCCTGGAAGCGTATCCCTGCTGTTGTGTACAGGTGAGGCTCTTGCAGGTGGAACAGCTTTTACCAGGCTGTAAATGGGGTGTTCTAGCAAGTAAAAGCTGAAATAAGTTGTAACTGGGAATCTTGCCTTGTAATGAAAGGTATTCAGGTGCCTCTGGGCCCCAGATGTCCCTTCACTGAGTCTGACAGACTTTAGCAAAAGTGTTAAAGGTATTTTAAAATAATATTTTTATAATTGAATCAGAGAGGTCTGGCTTGCATCTTGTTGTATTTTTGCATGTGTAACATGATGTGGAGGGGTGCTGCATGAAGGCCCAAGACCTGCTAGGGTAGAGCTGGAGAGCTAGGCTGGGAAGAGGCAAGAAAACCTGGCACAGTCCCCTTCGTGCTGCCTGGTGGAGCGATACCCAAGCTGATCCACCCTGAGACTCTGTCTGCAGTGAAGTCCTGCTCTTCCACTCCAGAAGGATCCCAGCAGCAGTGTGGAGAACAGGACCTCAGAACAAAACACAAACCACCCTAATGGTTTAGATATCAAGCAAGGATGACAGGGAGCTCCTTGCATGAGAAAACCTTCAGACCTGTATTGAACTGACAGCAAAGTATGACCTGTTAGGCCTGATAGCTTGGGGTCTTTGACTCTACATTTGCTACCTATATGTGTATTGGTTTATACCTATTCAAAACTCCAAGAATGTGTGAGACAGTAGCACATATTGGCCCTTGTCAAGCCATAAATGAGGTAAGACATGCTTACTACACATTCACTCTGAGTGGGAATAATGTTTTGTTTCTTTTAATTCCAAACACACATTGTAGGAGCACTCAGCATTTGCATCTCGTGCAAGTCATTCCTAGGGCAGTCACCTCAGTTAAGATTGATTTTATTTTTTTTAATATGAAAATGAAAAAATGTAAGATGAAGACATCAACAAGAAATGATAAATGGCATTTCTAGCTAGGTAGTCCTTTGGTTTTGTTCTCATTCTCATCTGGCTAATACTCAGACTGCAGAATAAACAAGGACAAATACCAAAATTATTTAAGGGCAATATAAAATTACAAAAGAATGTATGTGTTAGCTCTATCTACATATTTTAGATAGTTTTAATCAGACAGTCTCTTCCTTAGGTGGAGTCCAGCAATTCTCCATAATGCTTTTCTGAGATACTGGTTTTTGGCAGCTTCTTTAGTAAGAAATATATTTCAGCGTATGTTGTTTTAAAATATTCTGGAACCTGTCATTTAATACCTTGGCCACTTTCCTAGTGTAGTTACCCTCCCATAAATGTTTAAAATCTCTTTATAAAATCAGATGACAAAGGGATTAAAAAGATAATGAATACTGATAATTCCATTAAGTCTGCCTAGCCACCCATTCCTTCTAAACAGACAGAAAGGAAAAGCTGTTCTCGAGTGGCAAGCTAAATTTAGAGAGCAGTGAAGTTGACAAACTCTCATATGGCCTGGATTGGAGGAGTAAGTGTACAAGAGTTAAGAGCAGGCCACAAAACATTATTTACCTAGCTTAAGAGTTCTTGTTCTGTGAAAGGAGAACAAATTAGCTTGTGGCAGCAGACCATTATCTTTAAATCCTCCTATCTTTTCTCCTTTCTTCCAAATAATAAAGGGGTTAGCATAGTCTCTTTCTGAATGTTAAGGAATTGCTCCATCCTCTGTTCAGCTCTAAAGGGGAAAAAATGCTTTCCAGCATATGCTAATTTTTTAAGACTCAAGGTATTTTATTATTATGGTAGTACATGTAAGCGTGTATATTTTATGTATATATATGTATAAAGGAGAATAGTGTAATTTATATATGGTTTTGTGTTCAACTTTGAACACTGCATTTCAGGCCACTTTGTGCCTTTTATGCAGTTGTCACATAATTGGGGGACACCTTCCCTGCAAGCGCACTTAACACAGGGAAGCATCCCTCCTTCTCTCATCACTATACAGGAGAAAGAAATCACTTTCTTTGCATTCTTGGGTACAGCTTGCATTCTGGGGGATTTATGGGAGAGTGATTTAAATGTTCAAAAGACCTCATAGACTGAAATTGTTTAATCCCTGGCATTCAATTTTCTGCAGTTCTGATGAGACTATGTACGTTAAATTACTGCATAGTTTTTCCTTTGTAGTCTTAAAATCAGGGGGAGAAAAAGTTTTTCTCTTTCAATTTCTTCTTTCCTTATCTTGACATTTAATAATAGATTTTTCAAGACATCCAGTTCATCATTCTGTGCTCTAATAGAATTCACATCAGCTAGTGGTTGATGATCCATATGATTGGAAATCCATGTATAGTTTTCTCTACATATGTATGTTGCCCTCAATACAAGAAAGACATTGAGGTGCTGGAGTGTGTCCAGAGAAGGGCAACAAAGCTGGTTGAAGGGTCTGGAGCACAGGCCTTATGAGGAGTGGCTGAGGGAACTGGGATTGTTTAGCCTGAGGGGAGACCTTATCACTCTCTACAGCTACCTGAAAGGAGGCTGTAGTGAGGTGGGTGTTGGTCTCTTCTCCCAAGTAGTTAGCGATAGGATGAGAGGAAATGGGCTCAGGCTGCGCCAGGGTAGGTTTAGCTTGGATATTAGGAAAAATTTCTTCACAGAAAAGGTAGTCAAGCATTGGAACAGGCTGCCCAGAGAGGTGGTGGAGTCACCGTTCCTGGAAGCGTTCAAAAAACAGGTAGATGTGGCACTTTGGGACGTGGTTTAGTCTAGTCTACCCTTAATTGGTTTAGTGTGGACTTGGTAATGTTAGGTTAATGGTTGGACTGGATGATCTTAAAGGTCTTTTCCAACCTAAACTATTCTATGATTCTGTGCCATAAAAATAGCTTTTTTCTTACTTTTGGAGGAGTAAGGGACGAAGGCTCATTCAGCATTTTTTATCTGTTGAAGGTGATTTGGGGACTATTAGTTTCATTATTGGTCACATTTTTAAAATCTGCTCTTTTTGCTTTACCTCAGGGGAAAAAAAGTAATAATGATTCTTTAAAATTTGTCCAATAACTTGTGTCAATACTGAATACTGGGACAGAGTGAGACCAGAGACACAGACACTTGGCAACAAAAAACTCATTGTCTGTTCTTGTAAAGCATTGAAGAGCTATGACTATGCAAAGGCTGAAAAGCTGAGCGGGCTGAATTCAGAGGCAAACTTCAGAAATACTCAGTTGAGATTGGACTGTCAGGAGAATTGCTTCTATTTTATGATCAAATTTCTAGAAAAAAACCTCACACCCAGCTTCTGCAGTTTTTCTCTGTGTTAACAATTTTTTAAAATCTACGCACATATTTATGTAGATAAATCTGGCCTGTAACATGTTTTTTGTAGCTTATCTGTTTTGGTCCCAGAAAATCAGTGAGAAGCCATTTTGGATTTTGTGGAAAGACAATAGAGAGGACTTCATACATTATATAAAGAGTGTCCTAAACTCATGAGAACCTTCTTGGAAATTAGCTGTGTTGAAGGTGTTTTTTTGTCTTGCCCACTGCTGCAGGTGACTACTCATGCAGGCAGTGTTTCTGCCAGCACAGGAGGCCAAGGTAAACAGAAAATTGCTGTGTATCATACTTGCTGAATTACATTCATGAATTGCAACAGTGATTTTTTTCAGTTGCAAGTACTAGTAGTTAAGTAATGCTATGGAGGGAGTTATTCAAACCTTCAGTAGTCCTCCCTGTCTTTGTGGGTAGAAGGACTTAGTGGATTTATTGTTGTACTCAAAAGGTTGCTTGAACAAAAGGAAGATTAAGCATGTGCAGAGGTGTACCATACATCATACAGTTATATGACGGTTTATAAAGGGCTTTAGTTGTGGTGATTTACTATTTAGTTTCTGTAGGGAGGCTGCATGTTGCTTTGTCTCTAGAGAGTTAGGAAATTTGCAGTGAAGGGTTCACTGTAATTTTTTTTTAATCTTTTTTTGGGTACTGAGATCTGAGTGACACCATCTTATCCCCAGCCCTATCTCTAGGGACCTCAGAATCACACTTAAACTATTTGCTATTTTTTGTTCCCGTGGCCAGTCTGGTTGGAATGAGTGTGATTCCTCAGACCTCCAATATTACCGTAAATAGAATTGTTTGCTGATTTTTGCTGGTACATCTGAACATAGCATATTTGTGCAGGCTTAGGAGTGTTAGGTCTTCACAGCTATCAATGAACTCAACTTTTGGCCTAATGATTCTTTCTTTGTGATATAAATGAGAGGCAAGAACCTAGAGATGAAAATATAACTGGTTATGAACCTATGAAAATGATTCCGCAGGCAGGTAGTAATGAAATCTTGGAGAATATATGCAAAAACAAATGAGCTTCTCCGAGTGTTCAAAATAGATTTCTTACACATATAATGATGTTTTATTTTCTTTTGTTATTTGTGCAAGCGTAGCGGGAAACTAGGTGGCCTTTCAGTGATTGGCACATATTTTTTTCTGAATTAATTTGATATCAATGGAGCTGTTTCTGGAAGGCTGTTCATTTCAGGAGAAATACATTTTCCTTTGCATGCAGTTGGCTGGTGCCTGGTGTAAGTGCCATGGCATTTAGATTGCTTTTCCTTTCGTTCAGTTAATGCAGTGTGTCAGTTCCTTCCTTTCAGTGAAGGAATTTTATATGAAACAATTACAAAAGAGCTATGAAAAATACTTAAAATACCATATCACAACTATTTTATCATTTTAAGTTTTTGCAACACGGAGCCTTAACCCGATGCAAGTGTTGCTTTTGAATGAGTAGCATGAGGCAGTTGCTGCTGCCTACTGCTGTGCCCCACAGTGACACTGCAGAGGTGGTGCTGCTCAGCACCTGATGGGGGCTTGATGGCTCTGACAAGTTATAAACCAATTTGTCACACCTCCATAAACATTTATTAGAGTGGTGAGAGGGAAAAAAAGTTAAGATTTATAGGTTTGGGTGGGCTTTCTTCCTGTTCAGGGCAGTCCAAGCTGACTGTTGAAATTTGCTTGAAGATTCAGCTGACCCCTCACCATTCTGTGCAGTTGCCTTATTAGAGGGAATTAAACAACTCTTGGTTGACATGAAGCTGAGATAGCCAATTTGTTTGCAGGAACACTCTAAAATCCTTTGCTGCATCATAACATGTAGGAACTGTAATTGGCATGTGCATACTTTTATAAATACCGGGTTCTGGTGGGACTCATGAGCAAGAACGGCATTGCCTGGAGGTGCATTTGCTTAAAAGGGATGTATATCTACAGGCCATTGAAACAGAGAAGAACAGTGTGTGGATAAGTGGTAGGATATTTCAGACAGGACATGAGGCAGGGAGTAAACATTTCTAGGTGACCCATTCTTCAGCATCGTTGACTCGCCATGTGGCCTGAGAGAAGTTGTGTCTCTTCTCTGCGTTGGCCATTCCACCTGCAGCTCTTTGTACTGACAGCTTGGCTTCCTTTCCTGCCATGGCTGAGGTCCTCTAATTCAGGATACTGCTAGTGAAGGTGAAGGAGAATGTTGTTAGTGCCAGATGTAAACACTTCAGTGAATGGGGAATTACATTTCTGTTGGCAGCAGTGGGATGTGCCAGCATGGAGGCAGTAAGTGAAATGGCAGTGATAATGTTTCAGTACTCTTTCTTTATAATAGATTATAGGGGAAAGTTTTTAAATCTTTTTCAGGGTATGTTTGCAATGGTTGGATGCATTTTAATTATTTCAAATATGTTCTTTATGTGTAGTGCAAGAAGCTAGGTCAAATTGAAGAATTAGTATTTTCTTAAGACATTTTAAAAAAATTCTCTCTTCCTTTTTTTTTAATGTCACTCACCAGAAGAAAATAGCTAAGTTCAAGTTAGGTCATTCTTCAGTTATCTCCCTGACGTATTTTTTTATTGATAGACTTGGCTCTGTACTCCATTTGCTAGTCCTCTGAAGTTTATCAGTATAGAGTGCTTGCAATTTATATCACATTTTAGAAGAAAATATTCTGCTTATAAACAATATTCCTTTTTCAGTGCTACTTCGGTGTCTATAGCAAAATTTACTTGGTTGTGGACTTTGTTATTTACCAGCCTGGCACCGCACTGGTGCTTGCACATAAGAGCTACTGTTCTACTTCATCAGCTCCTTGGTGCTCTACTGCTAGATACAGTCGGTGTTTGAGAGGCAGCAGATGATGAAACGCTACCCAAAGAGGGTCAGGAAGAGGGATTGAGAAAACCCACACATAGAGAAGAAGCTGAAAAGGGGGTGGAAGAGCCACTCCTTTCCAACAGACGCTAATACCAAACTTCAGAATGAGTAAAACTGCAGATGTTTAGCATCCTGAGATGTGAAAAGCTCTTCTCCTTTTAGCTAGTGAAACAATACCTAAAATACACTGGCTTCTAGATATGGTTCTGCAGTGTTCAAGGACCACCTCCTGTGACTCACTGGTGATGCCTAGAAGCGGATACCATCAATGTACAAGATTAAGGTTTTGGATTACCATTAGACATCATCAGACAGAAGGCATGCCAAATTCTGCCAGTACCAAATTTGTATACATACAAATTGTATACCTACCAAAATTGTAACCTTCTTCAGATTTAATCAGTGGTATGTTTTGATTTAAAAAATCTCATCAAAAAGTGAATCTGGTTTTACTCCTGTCTTCTAGCTTTAAAATTAGCATGGGTTAAATTTAACTTTCCTATTTACTCTGGCATTACAGCAGTAGACCTGACTATCCAGCAGGTGTTGAATACCTCTTTAATGCCTCATCTGCTGTTCCAAAATGTTTCCCAGCTTTCACTGGCCAACAGGCAACAATATTGAGCAAGAAAATGCTTTGTTTTCTCTTATTGACCTTGGCTTTGACTTTCACCTTTCGGTGACTGTGCGGTCACAGTCAGCATTTTGAAGGGAAGCATGTGGAATGCTGCCACTGAATCACAGGTTGAGGATAACTGCTGGATGATAGAGAGGTCCCCGACAGGAATTAAACTACTAGAGTGCACCATTTAATTTTTCATGCCCTCTGTGTTTTTCATCCCGATTCTTCAAGTTATGCACCGCTGTTCTTTTTATTTTCTTTTTCAGGCACCAGAGCAATGGAGCAGTTATTTCCCGCTGTGGACAGCCTGAGGTCAGTTGGTGGGGCTGGAGGAATGCAGATGATGAACACCTTGTCCAGTCTGTAGCCAAAGCCTGTGCCTCAGACTCGAGGTCCAACAGTAACAAATTAATGAATGGAAATTGTTCCAGAGATTTCTCCAATGGAGGGGACCTCTCTGATGTGGAGTTTGGTAAGTTTGTCACTGTTGCTTTTCTGTAAAGGGCAGAGCTTTATATAGAAGCTTAATTTCTTATATGTACTGTAACAGATTCAATCCTTTGTATTTAATCAGGCATTCTCCAATTTCTGTATGTGCAGTGCATATGCATTGTGGGACTCGAGTGAATCATTGTTGTAAACAATGTCAGAAGCATCCCTTCAGTTATTCACCAGTGGCATATCCTCTTCCCCAGATTCCTCAATCTCTAATGCTTCAGGAGCAGAGAGTTTGGCAATACAGCCTCAGAAGCTTTTGATCTTAGACGCACGATCTTACGCAGCAGCTGTGGCGAATAGAGCCAAAGGTGGGGGCTGTGAGTGCCCAGGTAAGCAGTGGTTCTTCTCAGTTTTCTATTAAGTTAACCAAAAGGATTTGCTCAAATATATAACTGCACTGATATACTTCAGTACTGCATATTTAGCAGACTGCGTGGATGCAAGCGCTGTTCATCTATATGAAAGTTCTGGATCATTGCAGCTATCACACAGCCCTTCAAAAGGACAGGTTTAGCTGTTAATTAAGTCTGTTTCTTAGAGCATAAAACCAGCTGGTAACAGTGTTCAGTAAATGCTGAACTGTGTGGAATATGCTGATTAGCTTTCCCCTGCTGAGTCAAATATATAAACCAGAGCAAGACAAAGGTGTCCAGTGTGCTAATGTCTAAAAAAACCCGAACAAATTTGTAAAAATCTGCTAACTGTAGAGGATAATAATATTCTAGAATGGTTGTATGGAAGACAACTTTTCAGCAATTTTTCTAAAGCTGAAATGTTTTTCAGCATTTATATCACGACCCAAAGCAACTGAAATCCTGATTGATCTTGCATTTGTAATACATTTGCAATTATCACTTTCTGTGTTCATTGGCACTTGTAAGTTATTGGTATTATAAACAAGATATTATTTTATGGTCACTGTTGGATATGAATGCAGTCTGTTAAAATTCCACGGGTGGAGAGTCTAGAAAAGAGTGCATCTAGATAAGATAACAAAAGCTATTTTGACCATATATTCTTATTTTGGTCTTTGCTGCAATAGTTGCACTTCGATATGTAGCTACCAGTAACAAAAGATGAATTTTCCATTTAACACCTCAAAACTACTAAATAACTTATCAGAGTGTAAAATTTCACAACAGAAAAGCAGAGCATACAAGATGTTTAATTATCTTCCTGTATACTGGTTCTTGAATTCTTTGTAGTAAATTTCCAAACGGCTTGTCACTTTCAATAAATTTGATGTGCATTAAGTACTTCCTTTTTGCTGCTAAGCTTTCTCCAGGTATTGCCAGGTTTGCTTTGCTCTCTCCATATAAAAATTTCAGTTAGATTATGCTTCATTTTATATATAACATAATTCACTAAAAAGACAAAAAAATGCTTAAATTGTCTGACACTGTCAGTCGCTTCTGTTGTGGTTTAACCCCAGCCAGCCACTAAGCACCACAGAGCTGCTTGCTCACTCCCCCTCAGTGGGATGGGGGAGAGAATCAGAAGGAAGAGTAAAAGTGAGAAAACTCGTGGGCTGAGATAAGAACAGTTTAATAATTGAAATAAAATAAAGCAAAATAGTAGTAGTAATAATAGTAATAATAATAATATACAAAGCAAATGATGAACAATGCAATTGTTCACCACCCCACTGACTGATACCCAGCCAGTCCCCAAGCAGCGATTGCTCCCCACAGCCAGCTACCCCCAGTTTATATACTGAGCATGATGTCATGTGGTATGGTATAGCCCTTTGGCCGGTTTGGATCAACTATCCTGGCTGTGCCCCCTCCCAGCTTTTCACTGGCAGGGCATGAGAAGTTGAAAAGTCCTTGACTAGTGTAAGCACTATTTAGCAACAACTAAAACATCAGTGTGTTATCAACATCATTCTCATGGTAAATCCAAAGTGCAGCACTATGCCAGCAACTAGGAAGAAAATTAACTCTATCCCAGCTGAAACCAGGACACTTCTGACCACAGTTACAAAGTCCATCATTAACACGATGTTCTGTTTTGGGTCAGAATTAGTTGGCCTGTTAACAGTTAAGAAATCAAATTATATAAAACATGCTCTTTTTTAAAAGACTACTACTGCATTTTCCTGTGCAAGCACTCAATATCTGATATTCTGAATCCTGAATTTTTTCTGTTGTAGAAAAAAGTCATTTTAGCTATCATGTCGTCATTTTTGTGCAGATAGAAGCATCAGGACAGAGGAAAGCTAAATCCAGGAAAGACTATCGAATTAGTATTTTTCTGCATCTTCTTAGGTGCTCCCTCTGACTAGTAGACCCTGTCTGTACAGATACTGCTTCCCCAGTGGAGCAGAGTTGCATGAGTACATCCCATAGCAAGGTCTGAAGGCAGGCTCAGTAATTCCATCTATCTTCTGTTTTCCTGAGCTTTGAGTATTTCTCACGTGTGACGCAGACAACACCAAGCTGAGTGGTGCAGTTGACACGCCAGA